CCCCAAAACCCCAAAACCCCAAAACCCCAAAACCCCAAAACCCCAAAACCCCGTATGACTTCAACTATATAGAATTCCGATAAATTATTTTACTGTTGGTTAATCTCCTTCATATCCATCTTAGTTTTCATCAAAGACTTTATCTTAGCCTGAAAAAAATAGCTAGTTTCATCTTTTAGACCATTTTCAATTTGAAAAATTTCCGTTGGCTGGTTTTACCTTGTTATGAAAAAGACTCTCCAAATTATTTTAGATCATACCAAAAATATTAATAGATTCTGGAGTTTTAAGTCTCCTCTAATAATAGCATCCTGCTGTAAATATGAAAATTTTAGAATTTTATTAAAACTCGGTGAATATACTCATTTTGTAGTGGGTCTAAAAATATCTTGATGAAAATTTATAATGGATTGTCATATCTCGGTGAATAAGGTACGACATTTAGAATCTCGACAAACCTTATCATATAAGGGTTCCAATCATTGTTCCCATATAATTCATAATGGCAAAGATGTCGTCCAAACAAACTCTGCTCTTCATGCCTTTATAAAAACATTAGGATCCTGAAAACTTTCCATTTTAAGCTACCTTAATTTTGGATATCTTGCCCAACAATATTTGTCATTCTAAGGCTGAAAGAAAAGATTCTTAGAAAGAAGGTATACAATCTCGTATAAAAGAGGAGAAATAATAATCTCCAATAATAGTTGGCTAGTTATCAAACAAGAATTGGCGAGACTAGTAACAAGTACCCACAACCCGTCTGAAAGGAGAAAGAATCCAAAGCACCCAATAAATCCGGTAAAGAAAGTTTTGAAATTCGAAATTTTAAAGAGGAATTAGTTTAAATATCTCAGCAAGACAGCTCTTTAACACCTCTTTCTCCTGATTCGGAATTAAGGAGAGAGAAGGTTGAAGAGGTGTCTGTCTTCTGAGTTCAAGATCTTCTTGAGGAACTTCTTGTTAGTGTATGAGTAGTCCTCGAGGTTCTTCTTATGATTTAGGCCTAAGCATGGCAGTTTACTCGCTCTTGAAAGAGAGTCATCAGAGTCATCACTAGTACTACTTGAGCTGTCATGTTCGAGAAAATCAGAAGGGTCACCACTTTTACTCTTCAAAATTGACTTGTGAGAATTAGCTTTGTGAGAGCTGGCAGTGGCCTCTGTCTTCTTAGATTCAGTGAGATTTTGTATCTTTTCAAGCTCATTAGCCCAGTTAACATGGTTATTGGCCTCTTCTTTGGGTCACGGGGCCTCAGGGTCATCACAGTCAACAGAGTCAGACTTAATGACATGGCTTTTAATCAATCTGTTTCTAATGTTGGATCCAATTGTTGCTTTACTACTCATTCTATATCCAAATTAATATATGATCTGAAAAGAACGAAATGATCCAATAAATATGTAAATAACTTCTTTCAGGATTTAAATAGGGAAAATTAGGAAATTGCTAGTTCAAAGCAGCTATAGATCCTTCATTAAGAGCAATGGGATAAGTTCACCTACTTTTTTGTCTCGTTATTTTAATTTTTGTCAATTTTGAGATGTTTATATGGGGTTTTGGGGTTTTGGGGTTTTGGGGTTTTGGGG